GCATTGAACCGCTAGGAGGCCAACCTGTGAATCATTGCGCAACAGCGGGAGAACTCTCGTGAAGGAGAAAGAGGAGCGAAGTCGCGATAGTTCGCAAAAAGGGAGATCATGATGTTTCACAATTCGGGGGGGGGGGGGGGTGTGGGGGAGCTTCGCAAGCTACCGCACATGTAAAGTGTTTTCTGAATTCTTCTTGTATTCTCACCCCTTCCTTTTGTGTAGAAGTTTCTTTTATCCAATGGGAGTCTATAAATTGTTGTCCTCTGTATGTGAGAGTTCGTTTTTGGCATTGTTTATTTCAGATTCCTGTGTTGAATCCTTCTCCCTATTCTAAGGTTGTATCTGAGGAGGTGGTGGTGTTTCAGTTGTATCCTACTCCAAGGTGGTGTTGTAGTCTTCCCTTTTACCTTCCTCAAATCTTCTACTTCCCTATCCTCAACCGCCAATCTCCCCCTCCGTCACCCTAACACCCGGTCGACCACTTCCCTGCAGGTTATTACTATTGTCCTCCCCTCCCCCACTCCATCCCAGCATTCGTCCGCCCATTACATGCAATCGTACCTCGTTGTGCCGCCTTCTACCCTCCTTCCCAGCACTTCCAATCGACTGTTCCTCACCCCACTACCACTGCCCTCACTATCCATAACCTTCCAGCCACCTTTATGCCTGTTGTCGGTCTCAGTTGTATCCTACTTCAAGGTGGTGTTGTAGTCTTCCCTTTTACCTTCCTCAAATCTTCTCCTCCCCTATCCTCAACCGCCAACCTCCCCCTTCGTCACCCCAACACCCGGCCGACCACTTCCCTGCAGATTATTACTGTTGTCCAGCCCTCCCCCACTCCATCCCAGCAGTCGTCCGCCCATTACCTACAGTCGTACCTTGTTGTACCACCTTCCACCCTCCTTCTCAGCACTTCCAACCGATTGTTCCTCACCCCACTACCACTGCCCTTATTGTCCATAACCTTCCAGCCACTTCTCCGTCTGTTGTCGGTCACCTACGACCGACCTAATTGTTCTTCCTAAAGTTCTGCATCTCCCCCTCGTTGCCACCCGCATCCCTTGGCTACCATCATCCCTTCCAATCATCTATATCCCTCTAGCTGACCCCCACCACCTATTGGGATACATCTTAATGGTGTTTGCTTTTTTCATTCATGGTTTATATTGTTCTTTTCTGTTGTGTTGTGTTGTCACCATCTCTCTACATCAATAAAAGTTTGTTTTTTTTGTTTTTTGTTGAATTTCCTACTAGTTCCGGTATCACTGATGCAACTAATAATGAAACCAAAATGCAAAGTCACATTCACATTTAGCTAATAGTGGGCTCAATTGATTGATAGCCACATGAAGTACCATGAGCTTCTCAATAGTTGTGAATTCACGTGATTAAATATTTTTCCGATAAAATCACACTAACTCCTTGTCCCATGTCACGAGTATGACATGAAGCATTTCAAAAGGAAGTGCATGATATATCCATCACCAATATGCCTAAGCCTCGAATATAGATTAAACAAATAATGCATGGACTAAAAAATAGATAAACTTGAAATTGATCCACCTCAAGAGATGTGGTGTTGCTCTAAAAGTTCACAAAAATTAAAAAAAGAAAACCAAACTTTTTCAGAATCAAAAACTTGAACTCAGCAAACTAAGCGCCATACTCAAGTTGGTCACCCAGCCTATAAGGCAAGATCATATTAATAAAAAATTTCAACCCGAATGGAGCTTGTTTTTAAAATAACCTCAGATCCTCGTACAAATTATTTTAGGCTCGAATTCAAGTAAAGAAATGAAAGCATCAAGACAAATTATAAATTCAACAAATTTAAGGGAAAATTATTGTTTAAAGCTTAAATCGAGCATTCGTTCATCATCTTTGTTCATTTGATAAGAATGAAAAATTTAAGATCACTTTAGATCACAGAGTCATATCAAGCATACATCTATAATCATTCCCAGATCTCATGTTAGCAAAGACATCTCACATGTCCCCGACCTGCATAAATTTACTGCCAAATAACATTACAAAAATAATTAGTCACAATCAAGGAATTTGTCGTGCACTAGCACAAATAAATTATGATAACTGTAAAATCCCATGAGTTCGAGTGATACATTATGGAGTGCACTTGATGAGAAATGGAATCCTCTATTAACTAAAGTACACATTAGATAATGCAATCCAAAGATTAACAAAGAAATCTTACAATCATATTGCATCGATTGCCTCTTCTTAATATGTAGACAAATTGTCCAAAAGAACTTTGGATGAGATTTTGATATGATTTTTCACTACTCCCCTCCACCCCCTTCGCATTTTCCCCAACTTTAAATTAAAGTTAGTGAATATTTTTTAATCAAAAACAAAAATTACTACTATCAGAGGAGTCAAATTGGGTTCTCATGTTGAGTTCATATATGACCCAAATTCAACCCGATTTGAAACCAATTGACCTGAATCCAACCTGAATATTAAATGAGTTAGAAATTATAACCCAAAAAAAACCCACTTTTAACATGATTAATTCAAACACAATTATTTAACATAAGCATAATATTTATTTGTGTCAATTTCAGGATGTCAATTTCAAATTGATGGGTCAACCTAAGCCCGACCTAAAAATTTAAACCGGATGGGATTTTTTACACAAATCCTACCTGATAATCAATCAATTCAAAACAAACATGGGTTTAATTGATCATGTAAAAAAATTTCAAAGGAATGATCAGAGACTATTATACAAGCCCCCAGTCACCTCTAATGTGTCTAACAATTCGAGTACCACCTCCTTAAGGCCAAATGTGCCAGAAGGGACTAGAACCCCCGACCTGAGGGGTCTAGACCGTAGATGCCAACCAACAGGGCAACGTACGCGGCACATAGCCTAAACCCTAAACCCTAAACCCTAAACCCTAAACAAAGCGTCAACGTAAGATAATTTAAACCAATGATTGTGAATAAATACCTAACATTGCTCACGCTCAACAAGGTAACGCTTGTCTAAGGAATATTTGTGTCGGAGGGAATATTTACAAGTTAATGAAACAAGATAATAGTGATTAATAGCTTTACATACAATAAATGCTGGCAGGGCATTTCACGATTCTTTGCATAGCAAAAGCTATTAAAGTTGTCGAACCTATATAAGCATTTAGCTACAATTAAGGCTTCATTATACATTGTTTTGATGATGATGTGCTTCCATTGAGTTGTATGAACTACATTATACAATTAAGGCTTCATTAGACATTGTTTTGATGATGATGTGCTTCCATTGAGTTGTATGAACTACAATTATCACCCATTCTAGGCCATCAAAAACAGTCATCCATATACTAAATGCCAAACCAAGCAGTGCTCAACAAAGCATCGCCGGCAGCCCGAAAGAACTAAATGCCAAACCAAGCAGTGCTCAACAAAGCATTGCCGGCAGCCCGAGAGAACACAATGTAAAAGCTTTAATTCAATGCATTCAGTCATTAATGATGCTGCATGCAGAACCTTTAACCTATAAAACCAAGAGCCGCTGGTTATCAGTCATAGGAGGATTTAAAGTTGTAAGGGATGTTTGAAGGTGGCAGGCTTGTTGGGAATTTCCTGTATTTCAGCAGTTTATAAAACCAATATCAATGAAAGAAATGCATCACAGAGAGTGATGAAGGAATGTAGCAAAACCTAAAATGAACAAAAAGTATCTGATCAACCGAAATAATTTTAGTGGTGAACTTGTGAATTGTATACAATAGCAAACTGTCGATCTAGTATTGACGGTTTCTGTTACGTAAGGTTCCCTCAAGAAAATGTTTTGCAAAAGATTAAGAGCGGGGGAGAGAGAGAGAAAGCATTCACAAAAGCACCAAGTGATCTCCATGCGGTTGAACAATCAAGATGAGCAGAAGAAAAAAAAAACTATGTCAAAACACAAAACCGTTTCAACAAAATGCAAGCAGGTTTACTCCACTTACTAATTAAGTACGAATAGATAATCGCCAAGCCAACAAAGTCATAACCGAACAATTACAAGCTTCAGCCCATGTCCATAGTTGTCATCGGCCGCACCTATGAAAACTAAAAGTTGAAAAGCAGAGATCAGGCCAAAAAATGAAAAGAAGAGCAAATACCACCGGAAATTCAGCAAAACTCAGCTCCACACGACAATAGACTGCAAACCATACCCCTGGAAGCAAAGGGCCAGTTTCTACTACTCAGTAGAGCGTAGCTTTGACGATGAACCAGCAACCTGCTGCGGTCAATCCGAAAAAAATGTAAAATATATCGTGATTTCTAGAGAGAGAACTAAAGAGAGTGATGAGGTTCGGAAGAGGAAGGCACTAGAGCAAGATGAGCAAAAACCCCTCATCAACGATGGTTGGGAATCTCCCATCTAACTCTCTTCGTGACTTCGTCGTCTCCGCTTTCTGTAACCTACTTGCTCCTATTTTTTCCCCCCGGTAGATTTTCCCTTTGCTCGTTCTGTGGAGGCTCTCTCTCTCTCTCTCTCTCTCTCTCTCTCTCTCTCTCTCTATCCTTCCATGGAATTCTGAACTCTGGGGTCCCCCTTCCCGGCCTTTTGCATCCTTGTAGGGGGAATGGCAACCGGATATGGGGCGACGATTAAAGATGATTTGTACAGGATATTTTTATGAGCATTAAATTAATGTTAGTATTTTGGATTCTAATTCTTCTAATTTTTAATACAATATTAAATTATTATGATGATTGTGCTTAATTTGATGTTTTATTTTGTTTTAATAACTAAAAATAAATTTTTTTTTGAAATTAAATTGATTGATGTTGTTAAAGAAATATATGTCGGTTCTAATATAATATTGCACTGTTAATTTTAAAGAGATCTAAAAGTTTAGAGAAAAATGGTACAATAAAAAATTTAAGGAATAACTGCCTTAAATTTTTAAAACTAAATAGGAAATTAGATTGCCTTAAATTTTAGGAATAATTGCCTCAAAAGAATGTGTACTTCAATAAATTTGAGATTTTTGACATGTTCTCACTCTCTCTGTCGCATGGGATCCAGTCGAGCAGATGTCCGTGTACTAGCCGCCTCATCAGTCGTCTGTCTCGCTGCTCAGGCCGACTCACCATTCGGCTGCTTCTCCCTCTATCACGTGCAAACTTCACCTTAATGACCATCTCACCACGCCTTTGAGTTTTCGTATATGACAAGAATGGGTGATTCTTTGAATGGCATGAGTATTCGTAACTTTTTATGGGATTACATCTCAAAACTTTGTTATATTCATTATTTTTCAAACAAATTCAATAACTACTTCTTAAGTGCAGGAATTTAAGGCAATTTTTCATGAGTTCATTTTTTTAAGCCTAATCTAGTTTACTCCAGCACTCGACGAACTCAAATCTGAATTCATGGCAAAACCAAGAATGACACAATACGTTTGATCGATAAAACACCCCAAAGGGCTAGCCCAAGAGACTTTCCTTACTACAAAATCAAGTTTCGTAGCTTAAATTGGAAAAAAAAATTAAAGATGGTTCCCTTTCTCATAGCAACAAGCTCCGTGAAATGTATAGCAACAATCATCCTGGAAAAGAGTCTAGGCAGCTTCCTCTTAAAGAGAAAATTTTATTACGTCCGAACTCCGAACGTAGAGATACATCCGGAGTTCAATGAAATCACGTCACGTAGAGGTGACGGAAAAATAAAAAAAAATTATTTTAGCATAGAGAAATATTCCTCCCATGTTATTTCACGTTATTGAGGTGTTATTGTGGTGGTATTCATGTATTATTTTATTTTGGGAATATTCCCGGTGCTATAATAACACAATTACGCATCAATATCACCACAATAACGTGAATAACGTGGAATAACACGGGATGAACATTCTCCAGTGTTACCGGGCCGGATCACAAGAAAACGAGTTTTTTAATGTCAGCTCCACATGGAGGTGATTCATTGGACTACGGACGTATCTCTACGTCCGTAATCCGAACGTTATAATTTTTCCTCATAGAGAGGGGATCCAACCTAAGATGGAAGTCCGATCGGGCGACGGACAAACGTAAGTGAAAGGTTAGAACCGGTTTCAACCTCTTGAAAACCTACCGGTTGCAACATAAGCCACTCAGTTAAATAAAAACGATCGGCCGCGATGACAAGATTGCCCGATCGGTCCTATAATTTGCTATCAACGCCAAACAATAAAAAAAACGAGCCTCTCAACAA